TAATTGTAACGGTGAAAAGGTACATGGAATGTTTGAATTTGTCAAGTAGTACGTGACGGCACAAAAAGATTAATTCTGGAAAGGAGGTCGGGGCAATTACACCTGCCATTGATAATATTGGACAGTATGGTAAGATCTTTTCGTTTCCTACGAACTTCCAGAGAAGGTATGCTTAAATATTGTTGCAATTCCGCATAATTGTAGTAAATGTTAAACTTAAATGCTATGTATCTAAGAAAATTATTTTGAACTCCATCCAGTTTACTTTTATGAATTAAGTAATGTGGAAACCAAACTGAGGAGCAATAATCAAGTTGTATCCTAACTAAAGAGAAGTATAGTATTTTAATTGTGTTTATATTAGTGAAGTCATGAGTTGTCCTCTTGACAAAGCCCAGCATTTTCATTGATTTTTGAACTGTAGCAGTGATATGGCCATTAAAGCTCATGGAAGAGTCAAAGGTGATCCCTAGATCCTTGATTTGATCGACAGGGTCCAAAACATGTTGAAATAAACTATAATTATAAGTTATTAAATTATGGCTGCGACAAAATCGGATGATGTGACATTTGCTAGTATTTAGATCCATGCCATTACTAGAGCACCAACTTTCTAGTTTATTTAAATCCGACTGCAAAATCTGAGTATCGGCATAATCATGAATGATCTTGAAGCATTTCAAGTCATCTGCAAACAATAGGGCTTTAGTGTTAGGAAAGCAAGTTGTGATGTCATTAATAAGCAGGTTGAATAGTAGCGGTCCTAAGTGAGACCCTTGAGGAACACCCGAAGTAACTGGGAAAATTTGGGATTAATGATGATTTACTCGAACCTGTTGAGTCCTATTTTTTAGATAACTACCGAGCCACTGTAAGACAATCCCATCAATACCATATAAATTTAGCTTATGAACGAGATCATGGTTCACCTTGTCAAAGGCCTTGGAAAAGTCTGTATATACAGAATCTACTTGTAGACTCTTCTCCAAAGCTTCAGACAGAAAAAATATTAAGGTAATTGAAAACAAAATAACCGTTTTCCGTTCATTTTGTTTTGAGATGCCTTGCTGTCATCATTACTCTAAAAGACTCATTTGAAATGAAAATACAAAGAAATTATAGTAGTATATTCTGTTGAGAGGGGCTGAACGAACTTTTCCATTACGGTCCATTTTAGAGAAATCACGTATAAAACAAAAATTATAGAGATCGATATCGCAAAATTTTTTTTTAAAAATCAGAATTTGGCTTATTTTGTCAAATTTCTCGAATACGGGCCATTTTAAAAAAAAATTATATGAGCCAAAAATTATAGATAATTATATTAGACGTAACTTTTGTCTAAAGAATGTTCTTTTCCAAACGTAAATAATAGATATATTCCATAAAATATAAAAAAAGTTTAAAATTTAATGTTTTTCTCCTTATCCGTTTTTGAATTTTTTTAAAATTCCAAATTTACTTTTTCTCAAATTTTTCGAATACGGTACATTTTAGAGAAATTATATATAGAATAAAAATTATAGAAAATAATATAAAAAACAACTTTTATGTAACTAATTTTTGAAAAAATGAATAAAAATGGATAAAAATAAATTAAAATTATTAAAAATTATCAAAAATTATTAAAAATTATTAAAAATTATTAAAAATTATTAAAAATTATTAAAAATTATTAAAAATTATTAAAAATTATTAAAAATTATTAAAAATTATTAAAAATTGTTAAAAATTAATAAAAATTAATAAAAATGAATGAAAATCAATAAAAGTAAATAAAAATGAATAAAAATCAATAAAAATGAGTAAAAATGAAAAAAAAAAAATGAATAAAAATTAATAAATATAAAAAAAAATTAATAAAAATGAATGAAAATCAATAAAACTAATAAAAATTAATAAAAAAAGGAAGTCATGTATTTTTTTGTATTAATAACACGACTACATGCCAGAAAAGTCGCGAGCAAAGCCGCGGACAACAGCTAGTCTATATATATAAAATTGTTTGTCCTAACTGACTGACCTATCAGCGTACAGCCAAAACTACTGAGCCTAGATAGCTGAAATTTGGAACATAGGTTCATTTTATAACGTAAGCATCCGCTAAGAAAGGATTTTTAAAATTTTTAACTTTAAAGGGGGGAAATGGGAGGAAATGGGGGGAGGGAGCTTTTAATGAAACTCTTTGTTCTTTAAAGTTAGAAACATGAAAATTTAAATTACAGCTACTGAGCATAAATAAATAATGACGTGTTTCAGTGTTTTTGGATTTTAAGGGGGGAAAACGGAAGGTGAAAGTTTGTAAGGGACTATCGATTTTTTTTCTCTATGAAGTTAGAAACATGAAAATTGGAATTGCAGCTACTGAGTACAAATTAATAATGTGTTTTAGGGTTTTTATATTTTTACATCTTGAGGGGACATAAAAGTTTGTATGGGAGTATAACTTTTTTTGTTCTCTTTGAAGTTAGAAACATGAAAATTGGAATTGCAGCTAATGAGTACAATTTAATAATGAAGTGTTTTAGGGTTTTTAAATTTTCATATTTTAAGGGGGGAAACGGGGGGCTGAAGATTTATTGGGAATTATCGATTTTTTGAAAGGTAGGAATTAAAAGGTTCTCATCATAAATAAATAATGAAGTGTTTCATGGTTTTGGATTTTCACATTTTAGGGGGGGAAAACGGGGGTGAAAATTAATAAAAATTAATAAAAAGAAATAAAAATTAATAAATTATTAATAAAAAGTAATAAAAATTAATAAAAATTAATAAGAAATAATAAAAATTAATAAAAATTAATAAAAATTAATAAAAATTAATAAAAATTAATAAAAATTAATAAAAATTAATAACAATTAATAAAAATTACTAAAAATGAATAAAAATGAATAAACATGAATAAAAATGAATACAAATGAATAAAAAATAAAAAAAAAATGAATAAATATAAAAAAATTAAAAAAATGAATGAAAATCAATAAAACTAATAAAAAAGGAAGTCATGCATTTTTTTATATTAATAACACGACTATATGCGAGCAAAGGCGAGCGAAGCCGCGGGCAATAGCTAGTATTCCATAAAATATTAAAATTAACCCCCATAAAGTACTCCCCCAGATGTTCAGACTCTGCCCAAAATCTAGTTCATCGCAGGATGGATTAAAGCTATATCCGTTCATGAGTTATCGAGGATACAGACATCTTCGCGAACTTAGTCAAAACAGATTCAGGGGACCCCAAAACATAAAAATCCGTCGAAAACTAGAGATAGAAAAAAATCACGATTCCTATACTTTCCTTATCTGTATACAGATAGGAAAGTAAAAATCCTCTATTTACTTAAGATTAAAAAGACCAGGGTGCATAACTTGAAAACGAGAGAAATATATTCACTACATTTTTACTTTTCCAAAAAGTGGTATTCTCAAAATCATGTTCTTTCAAGAATAGCACTGTTTGAGAAAGTGAAAATGAAGTGAACATATCTCCCGGGGAGTTTTAAGCCAAGGGAGGATAAAGTGTATGGTGAAAATGAATGCAAAGTTTCCAGATTGTTGTAGATTATCCGAACAATTAGAAACTACGAAAAATCTCGAAAATTGAACGTTTTACAAAGATCAACCAAGACACCTTTTTTGTGACAAACTGTAAGAGGAATAATTATTATTATTAACTTTTAATAAATATAGAGCGTTCAAAAAGTTTGGATCAAAATTGTTTTCTTAGCCCTTGATTCTATGCCCAATGATTATCGTAATTTATCAAAATAAAGTGTATTAATTAATAATAGTGATCAACCAATTAATAAGAACATATTTTTAAGTTAGTCTTTATAGTCTTTATCACTCTGTAGAATGAAAACTGGGACGTTGCAGGAAAATTATACTTAGCCTTTCTTTAATTAGTTAAAATCTACAAGTCCCCTAGTTTACGGTACTTTATTCTGAAATACCCTGTATATATTTCTAATTGATACTTGTAGAAAAAGTCGCGTTAGCCAATTATAAATAATCAATACAACAGATAAGGTGCTTAGACTCACATACAAAATCAAAAATTGATATCAGTACCTAAAGTTGAACCACTTAAACGAATTTGTAGCATTAATATATTTGAGGAAATAATTCCAGTTTCTCAAATATGATCAAATTTAAAATAAATATCAAATGAAAAGATGTCTGTTTTACAGCAAAGTTGAGTGACCGTTTCCTTCCTGCAAACAACTACTCCCTTGGCTAATAAATAAATAATTTTCAACACTCTAGATTTGATTTTGAGAGTTGTTTTCAGGGGAGAAACGGTTGCTCTACTTTGCTGTGACATGGACCTAGAAATTTTCTCTTTTCCTTAGTTATTAATTTTTAATTTGGTCACATTTGAAAAATTTGAATTATTTCCTCTATTATTCCACCTTGTTTTAGGGGACTATAGGTACTACAGCGAGTTTTGATTTTGCTTCCTAAGTGCAGATGGCATTACCATTTTTTACTCATTCACTACCTACTCTTTCTCAACCATTTTTAATGCATACGAGTGAAAGTCATACATCAAGCAGACTTCATTAGAGTCGGTATTGTATAAAGCTTGCTGATGAGTCCTAACAAGGATGAAAAAAAACGGTATGACTTTTTCCTTAGGAAGCAAATTCAAATATATGTGTTTAAAATGATTTACTAACTCTGGTTTTTTCCTCTTGATATAATGCAATGCCAATTGCGGTATTAGCCAAGCAAGTAGTTATTTTCAGAAGGGAAACTGTCGCTCAACTTTGCTGTGACACTTAAATATTTTCTCTTTTCCATTTATATTCATTAATATATTTAATAAAAATATTTCAAATAATATTAATTATTCTTTTTCAAAATTTTCAATTGATAGTTTGAGTAAATAAAATAATAAAAAAAAAAAGATATCTATTGTTCTTTTTACATACGACGTTTATGTGTTGTTATTAAGGAATCAATATGAGATGATAAAAATAATTAATCATTACATACTTTTGATCTTTTATTATTTGTACTTCCATTGGTAGTATTTTTTGTTCTTTTTCCATGAACTGCTGTTGGGGGGGAAGGGTGTGAATATGGAGGCATTTCCAAATCAGTCTCAATTAGCTGATTATATATTTCATTCTCATCTTCATTGTCATGTTCTCCTTTAACATCATTTGAAGAAGAGGCATCTTCACTCTAAAAATAGAATAAATCAGCTTCAGTAATTGGTAGTAAAAACAAAACTTGGTTTCAATAATTTGGAATCCCTATACAGGATGTAACTACATTCGACTGGCAACGCTCTACCCTAGAGAGCTCTTGTTAATTTATCAGTTTTGATATAGGAGCACAAAACCTTAGTTACACATTTAAATATTTATTACAAATTTGGTGACCAATATTTTCTTTACGAAAGTAATATTTTGAAACAAACTAACTTTTTAAAAATTAGTGGTTTGCTATCATTTTTTTGCTTCTACACCTGGTAAATGTGTGATTATTTTTTTTTTTATTTTTGAAAAAGAACATACAATTGTTTGAAAATATATTGATCTGATATTAAAGATAGTATTGTTATATAATACGACTGTTGAAAATAGACTATTCTTATAATGAATTGTTTTGAGAATATCTGTATTATAATGAATGCTTTTAATGCATTTTCATATAAATCACCCCATACAGTTATTCCATATTATCTTATTAATATGATATATCATTAACAATATTTTATTTAATATATTCCGAATAAGATAGAATTTATGTATTAGTTTTCTGATTTTATTTGCCAAGTATTGAAATTTGAGAAGTCCATTTATGATTTTTATCTATTTTTAACAGACTTCAAAAAAAGGGGGAAGGTTCTCAATTCGTTTGAAATATGTTTTTTATGTGATATTTATTTTCTGATTATTTTTTGTTAGGAGGGGTCCCATATAAATTTGGTCAAGATCTAATAATTGAATCCATATGAAAATCATCCAAACTCTTCATTTTTTATGTACTAATAATTATTTATCACTGTGTCTGATTTCTATGATTCTTTTTTTGTTAGAAAGAGGGTACCTCAGGGGTGGTTCCATATAAATTTGGTCACTATCTGGTGATGGAATCTATGAGAAAATCAGCAAACTTAATTTGTAATGACATCTGCATGATTTTGGAGTCTGTTTTTTAAAATTACTTTTATCCCTTCAGCCCTTCGATAACACTCTATTTGTTACTTTTTACAATATAACTGTGTCATCTGCATAAAAAATTGATACACCCTCAATATCTAAATGTAATAATGAATTAATGTAAACCATAAATAATATCGATCCCTGTACTGTTCCCTGTGGAACTCCTATTTTTATTGTAACCATATAACTATGTTCATTACGTATCTTTTCAAACACTCTACAAACACTTTTCAAACACTGTTCCCCTTATTCCATAACTTTTAAGGAGGTCCTTTCGCCACACCTCTCGCCTCAAATGTTAAAAAAAAGTTATTAGATTATGACTAAAATTAATTTTTTTCTAATAGTTGAAGTCCTTATTTATCTAATACTGAACTTTTAACTATACCTTACCTTGCAAATTTTTGAGTATTTGTACAGTACCTCACGAGAAAGTAAGTCCTCAACAACAATTCTCGAATTATACTATTATTTATTGATTAGATGGAGTAGAAAAAAACTAAAAATAAGGTTTTTGAAATATTTAGATTTTGTTTTATACAATAAAATATATATAGTAAACCCTGGAACTTATTGAGAAATTAATATTAAAAAATCACAAAAAATTTTCAAGTAACCTAGTTGAAAATTTTTTAATAATAATTTCTCAATAAATTCCACGGTAACCTATATATTTTATTGTAAAAAACAAAACCTAAATATTTCAAAAACCTTATTTTTAGTTTTTTTCTACTCCATCTAATCAATAAATAATAGTAAAATTAATTATAATTCGAAAATTGTTGTTGAAGTCTTACTTTCTCATAAGACACTGTACAAACACACACATTATTAAAAAAAAAAAATTCTCAAAAATTTGCACGGTAAGGTATAGTTAAAAGTTCACTATTAGATAAATAAGGACATCTACTATTAGAAAAAAATTAATTTTAGTCATAATCTAATATTTTTTATTTAACATTGGTGGCGAAAGGACCTCCTTAAGAACATTTTAAAATTGTTTGTGGGGAACAGTGTCAAACGCCTTTGCAAGTTCGATAAAGACACCAATGTGCTTGTTATTCTGTAAGCTACTTTTTATACTTGATATTAGTTCATGCATGACATCACTTTTGGAAACCAAATTGTTTTAAATCTACTCAAAATATTTGCTTTTTTTTTAAATAATCTACTTTTTAAACATTTCACAAATATTTTAGCAAAATTTGTGATTTTACTAAAAATAGGTGTTGTCTATTTTGGCAATCTCAAAGAATAAATTTATTATGTGTTTAAGAGGTTCAACAATGTGGGAATGACATATATTTAATAATTTCGAACTTACTCCATCAATCCCAGGAGCGTTGATCTTTTTTAAATTAAATCATTTTTATTAAATGGAATTATTGCCATCAAGTCTGCGAGTCCTTGGTAATTTATATTAATTTTATTTATAGGATTAGTTATTCTTTTGGCCATGTTCAATCCTACTTGTGAAAAATATGCATTGCAATAGTTAGTAATTGAGGGGCCCAAAGCCTAATTTTTAGGCAAATTGGGTTAACATTCTTGCACAGTTTAAAATCCTAATTCGAATGTTACAGGAACGAACCAGGCTTCTACATGAAAATAATAGTCATGTTTTTTTGGATGCCTATCCTCCTGTACACTGTAAGAACAGCAGTGGGATTCTCATCTTTCAATACGGCACGTGTTGAGTTCGCACATAAGAATCGCTGTGCTCGTCAAGTCCAGGACCTGATCTGTTTTTGCTTAGTTCGATACGGAATGTTTTGATGACGGCACATGTCAAATACTGTATCAATGTAAAACATTTCTCAAAAAAAATCACAAATTTACTTTGTTAAAACATTGTATTTTTTTTTGTGCCAAAAGAGTGTGATTTAGGTATGTACATATTTTGTTAAATTGTAGCAAGGCAGTAGTGTAACCAGTTTTTACAGAATTTAATATCAAGAATACTAAAGATTTGGTTCCTGTGTCATTACCTGATGAGAAAAAGTTATATTTGGATACTTAAAAAAAAAACAAGTTTGACCACGTTATGACACTAATAACAAACAATGTACCTCAGTGAGATCAATGATTTTATGACTACATTAAAGAATACCATACCATTCATAATAAACCTAATGTTGACACTTCAGTCTCCAAATTTAGTTCTGATGAATAGGTAAAACATATCTTATGTAGTCATAGCTCATCTTTAACATGTAATGTATTCGATAAACAAATATTTTTGCTTACTTACAGTTTTATTTTACTATTAAATCGTAGTAATGCAAAAAAACGCCAAAACTGGCCAATAACCAGCTAAGTCCATTAATTATTTTTTAATAATTAACATAATACACTAGTTAATATAAAATAGTATGTGTACCTTTAAAACACCGTTAAAAACAAATTATAATGTTTTTTTCAAGTCTTGAAAAATATGTAAAAGTGGACTTAGCTGGTTCTTGCTTTGGACCCTTCAATTTCTTTATCATTTCACCTAAGACATTTGTATTTATTGTATTTTTTGCTTGATTCCTTTGTGACCTCTTTTATTATGTCATATACTTTTTTAAATCAAATTTACTGTTTGCAATTTGATTTGTATTATATTGATTTTTAGCATTTATAATTATTTTATTTAAACATTTACAGTAGTTTATATTCAGTATACAATATTTCTTAAGAATTGTTTCTTCAAATTATCTTTTTGTTTTATAAAAGTTATAATTGCAGTTGATATCCACGCTTTTTTCTTTTTTATATTCATATATAATATTAGTGCTTCGGCAAACTGCAACTGTCTTTTAAATTTGTAAATATTTGAATTAATTTTTGATAATCAGCTATAGAATCATTTGTATATTTCACTCCAGTTTACAGTTTTGGCTTAAATATGTTTTTGTAACAAAGGTAGATATTTATCTTTCTGAATTATTGTTAGCGACATTAACTTTAGGTTCTATTTATAAACAAATAAATTGGAAAATGGTCTGTTATGTCAGTCAATTGTTACTGCTTGTGGGGGATATTTTTCCAGTATTACTTATCACACATATATGATCAATACAAGAACTACTTTTTGCAGTGATTGTAATGTACAAGACAGAAAAAGAAAATTAAACTAGATAAAAAAAATTAAATTAATTTTTTCTTAATAATTATTGAAATTGTTAATATAAATTATAAAACTTTATTACCTCTTAAATATTTGTCTAATAATATAAAAATAAATTCCTTCACTTTCGTTCATACTTTCGTAGTTCAGCATTATTTATTTGACTAACCAAGAGATGAAATGCTCACAAGCTGTCCAAAACGGAACCTTTTAACATCAAGCTCTGGATGATAAAGTATATCAGTTTTACGTTTATTTGGCACTGGTAATTCCCTAATATTCTGTCCATAGAGTACCAACCTATGTTGCGTAAAATGACTGACAGTGAATGATTGAAGTTTAAAAAAATATATATTTGACATTAAATATTTCCATAGCATATGTGATAAAAAGCAATGAATTTGTGAGTGTCATGTTCATGTATATTTTTAAAAAATTATTCCAAAAATACAAATTGTTCATAAAATTTTTACACATGTAAATGACTAAAATCAATGAGTATTATTACACATATTTATATTAATGTCAAATTATATCTATTTGAAATGTAAAAATAAATGAAAAATGTTTATTCCTAGGCTTCTAGATATTATTATGGTAAAATTTACTAAGGCACTTACAGAGTCATCGCCAGTCAATCCTTTAACTTGAAGGAGCTCGGCAGTCCTAAGAAATTGAGTCAAATTGTCCCTAAGGACACTAACTTCTCCCATATACATAAATTCTAGAATATCTTTCATATTTTCATGTCCGACGTCTTTTAATATCACAATAGGATGCTTACAAGGGTTTACTTTAAACATTTGTTTGAAATAAGGGCTGCATATAGAAAGAACTATTTTATGTGCCTGTAAAAAATGTCCATCAACAGCTAAAGTTACATCAACCATTTCAGCAGCTTCTAGAAGTTCGTGAAATCCTGTAGTCATGTTTGAATGAAAATTATTCCAACGTAAAGAAAATTGCTCAGTTGTTGCCATTTTGCTGCAGACAAAATAATATGGGATTATAGAGATTTTCAGACGCCATTTAACCTTAAAATAAATAGCTTACTCACCCTATTTTATTTTTCAGTAATTTTAGCTGATAAATATTGATTAAATATAGTAGTTTGTCTTGTTGAGCGAAGTTCAAAAATACGTTAACAATGGTTACATAACAAAATAAAAACTGTAATCTGAAGCTGCATTTACTGAAAACACGAGAACAACCCTAATTAACCATTTCCGGACCAATCCGGGCATCCGGGATTTGTTGATTGATGAGTGAAGCAATGATGCCAGATTACCAAATTTAAAATACCTAGTTTTGCAGCAAAAAATGTCTATAGTACCCTTCCTCCTTTCATAGAACTCCCTAAGAGGTTTATATGAACGAAACTGGAAGTACAGACTGGAAGTGCTAGAATTCCCCCTCTCCAGTTCTTTGGAATTCCCTATACGTTTACGAAAATCAAAATAATACAAATATGCTGCGTTTGAGAATCCACATCGGATGCATCTGAGATGTAAAAAATCTTTGATCACGTGATTCAGTATACGTAAATGTAATGGGATAGATGTGTCCGATGTGGATAAAAAAACGCTCGAGATGTAAAAAATGCATCCGATGTGGATTCTCAAACGCAGCAATTGCATATTTGAAAAATGTTTTAATAAAACAAATAAACGTAGAACTTACATATAACGTTGAAAATACACGTAAAACCAAAAATAAATATTCTCTAAAATTTAAATACGTATCAGTAGCATACCTACATTTTTTTTATATTTTACAAATTTATTTTCCTATTGTAAAAGCAGACAATAACAGTATAACATCAATTTATTTACATATTAAGTTCTTTATTATCTACATGTCAATAAATAATTAATATTTACAACACTACCGAAATTCCTCTTTTCGTGCGGGTCCAGGAGACCATGGAAGACAAGTCCGCCAAAGCAGACAATAAAAGGGTGACTATATGAGGGAATTCCTGCACCGTCAACGGAAAAAAAAAATCGATGTACTTATTGAATCGGTATAAAGTAAAAAGGGAAACTTATTGAGAGACCATTTAGGACCGATTCCACCATTGTGTTAAACGAAGTTTAAAATGACATTTTTACATTAACAATGTCATTTTAATCTCCGTTTACCACAACGGTGGAATCGGCCCTTAGCGGCGTGTCGTTTCTTGGGGACCCACCCGCAAGACTTTCCGCTCTCTATATATAGATCCATATTTTGGGTGGATTAATCCCATTTTTAATTCAAAGTTTTTTCATAATCAAAATAAGCTTCATCTCCATATTATAGAGTGTGATTTTTACTAAAAACTTCACGTTGATCGCTTTTCATTTTTGATTTGATTTTTTTTTTTAATTTCAACCCTTAATAAACGCCCCACCCAATAAACACAGTTAATCAGCACCGTAACTGGGCCGAAGAAGGCTTGCCAGAGATGCCGGACTCGGCTCGATATACGGGTGTGGAGTCTCGACATAAACGTAGAGGGCATTTCCGTCCAGCCGAATGTCGGCAGCCCACTAAATTCTAGCCGCGTTCATATATCTATATAATATAATTCGGCCCGTATAAGGATGACTCCCATGCCCGGCTAGCCAAATATTCACCGCGTTCGGCCCGTATAATGATATGCCTCCCATGCATGGAAAGCCAAATATGGACCATATATGTGGTTTCTGCTTCTAAATTACGTCAAATGGTACGGTCCTCCCGGCTCAGAAGAAACCCCGAGAACGGCAATCCGAGTACTCGGCTTCCCGTACATGCCGGTGTCAGGCCCAACGAATGCTGACTATTTGTGGTTTACTGGGCAATTTTAATCAGATTTTTTTTTCGCAAACTCAAAGGGCTTCTTCCCCTTATAATAATTAAGAGCTTATTGGTTTTTGTTTAAAATTTCAAATTGATATCATTTTTAGTTTTTGAGTTAGGATTTTTTTTTAATTTTTCACCCCCCCCCCCCTTTAAACGCCCCCATTTTTATTCAGACGATTTCAAAATCAATATGCTTTGTTTTCTTGCGGAACTTGATTTTTTCTGAAATTTTCAAGTTGATATCATTTTTCGTTTTTGACAGTGAAGACAAAAACGTGACATCGGACGGATAGACAAAGAAGTAAACCTGTGTTACTCTTCACGGAGTAGGCACTCTGTGTGATGAGTATAATTAACCAAATATAAAAAATAATAACCATATATCTGGTTCAACCAAAACCAAAACTGTGAATATTATAGTATATAGAAAAAAAGATTAGAAATAGATAAATTTTTAATAGATTAGCAACTTTTCATGGAACAGTTATTAACTAAACTATATAGCGTTTTATTAATTCAAACAATTTTAACAGCATTTTTATAATTTTAATATTTGTACCATTTTATTTGGTCTTAATCTACTTTTTTGTATTGACTAGATAAGAACTAATTAACTAATTCATTAAATTATTATTATTTCCAATGCATCTGACGGTTGCAAAAATACCTTTTGGGGCCCCATAAGAAGCACTGGGCCCTTCCGCACCGCATCAGGCCAGTGTCAGAGGCGCACATCCCCGATGAATAGCGCGGTGGAGTCACCAGAGAAATAAAAATTATTTTTTACTTGATACCTTTGTTTTACATTATTTTTGAAAGGAGCATTTTGAATTTATTGCCTCAAATGTTTATTATATCGAAAATCCCTAGGATTTCCCTATTGCCCTAAGAAAAATAATTTGGAAAAATCTTTCTTGAACTAGGGACAATTTCCTAGATCTGGCATCACTGGAGTGAAGATGAGTTTCGGGTATTATCGACTGTTACCGTCAAGGACAAATATCAATGTCAAAATATTGGGCTGTTCTACCCATAAATAAAAGGGTCCTGTTTGGTATTAATTTATTTTTGGTCATAACGGTCATAACTTAATTTAATATTTACATTTCATTATACCATTTATGTAATTATTTGATTTTATTTTAAATAATAACTTGTTCAACTTCTGGACTTTAACCGGGTTATGTTTTTGAAATAAAAGTGAACTGAAGTGTCCAATTGGCTCTACACACCATGCTCTAAAAGAAGAAATCGATTAGGTAGTGTGTAGGTAGTTTTTTTCTAAAATGGTTGCGAGCAAAACTATTAAATATTAAATGTTAGGTTATGATTTAATTTTTTCAAGTTGTATGATGTTGACTTTTTGGAGACTTCAAATTATATAAAAAACCTGATAATGGCCCATCGGCTTTTAAGTAGTTGCAGACGATTGGAAAATTTAGTTTGGAAAACATTTAAACATAATAATGTCAGCGTTTCACAGGTACGATCAATCTATTTCATAATATTTCTTCATTTTTATTTCCATAAACTCATGTCATTTTTCAGAATAAATTTTCTTTAAAAGAAGCAGTATTAACAGAATGGCGGTTGTTTTGCGAGAAGCCTCCAAAAGGGTTCGAAAAATATTTTAAACAGGGTGGTGCCAAAGTTCCAAAAGAACCTGTAAAAGATGGAAAGATTTCTAAAGAAGCCAAAGAAGGCAAAGAAAAAGAAACCCAATCTGAACCAATCAAAGAAGCTCCAAAAAGAGTACCTCCCAGTACTAGTTCTGGCTCTGGAATTGGGGGTTCAAAACCCTATGAACAGTGGTCATTTGGGTTATTTGGTGGAACAGGAAGAGGGTAAACATTATATACAAATATCCCCATGTTATGCAACCCTGCAACTCATAAATTGAAACCATGTGTTCTTATCATTAATAAGTAATATTGGCCTTTATTGCAAAACTGAGCAAAACTTGATGTATAAAATTGTTAAAGCAAATAATTTTCAGCTTCCTATCAGACTCCTTTTTTATTTTTTGACAATGTTTCTAGCTGGTTAGTTGGTGTTATGTTTTAATAAGAATTCTCAACCAAGCCTCTTTACTGATACTGTGGTACATTATTTACATGTTATTATTAAAACACCTCTATTGAGACCATTTTTACAAGTTCACTTTATCACCATTTACCCTGTTTCAATGACTCAAAAATTATGGTTACATTAAACGATGCATATTTGGGTTACACTTAAAAAATGTGTGCATTAAAATATCTATTTTATTTAGTGGAAGTGGTGGGAAACCATTTGGCGATCAAGAGAAGGATAAATGGTATGTGTTAGGAGCAGCTGCAGCTGTGGCCTTCATTGCTACAGTTACTATGTGGGAAATGGGTTACAAGGAAATCAGCTGGAAGGAATTTGTACACAAGTATGACTATCTTTGAGATATAAAACCTTCAAAAAATAATAATTTTTTTTTTCTTCAGTTATTTACAAAGAGGTGTTGTAGATAGATTAGAAGTAGTTAACAAAAAATGGGTAAGAGTTAAACTTCTACCAGGAAACACTGTAGAGGGAGCTGTAAGTATATACAAGTTGTTTGGATGAAAATATTGCAGTATAATCATAATAACTTTAATTGCAGAACATCATCTGGTTCAATATTGGTAGTGTAGATTCTTTTGAAAGGAACCTTGAAAATTCACAAATGGATATGAACACGGAACCTGCAAATTTTATTCCAGTGATTTACAAGACTGAAATTGAAGCGGCCAGTTTGTCTGGCATGCTACCTACTATTCTTGTGATTGGTTTTCTCATATACATGATGAGGAGGTCTGCAGAAATGATGGGAGGCAAAAGGGGTAAGAGAGGAGGTGGATTGTTTGGAGGTGTCATGGAAAGCACGGCCAAACTGATTAATTCTAGTGATATTGGAGTAAAGTTTAGGTGAGAAAACACATAAATTGTATTTCCCTTGGTTATAATTCACTTTTAACTCACCTATGTACATCCCTTTGGATCCATTTAGAAGGCCACTTTTTGTCAAATAAAATAACAGAGGAAATTAAAAAAAAAGGAGATAGGTATCTAGAGACACCTTTCCGTGATATTATTAACCTTCAGGATTTTGAGCTGAGAGGCAGTCCCTGGACACCTTTCAGTGCCTTTATCAACCAGCAGAATTTTTGATGAGCTGAGAGGCAGCTCCTACATGCCCCTGGAGGATATACAATGAGTCTAGGCCTTATAGATATACTTATTTATGTAATAAATCTAGTGGGACGTCAGAAAATATATGGGGGCACCTCATATTTATATTTATTACATGATGCCATTATTACTTCTATGCATTAAAACAAAAATACATTTTTCATTTTCTTGACTTGTTTTCGTTTAAAATAATTTGGCTTAGGTGGGCCTTTGGACAGAATCCCTTTCGCAGGCTGCGCCATAGATGTAATTGATTATTTAAAGAATTTATTTTATTAGATTGCCACAATTGAATTTAAGCTTATAAATATTTACAAAATGATTGTGCTATATTTCAAAATTTTGGCATTTAAACTACACCATTTTTTCAGAGATGTAGCAGGTTGTGAAGAAGCAAAAATAGAAATTATGGAGTTTGTAAATTTTTTGAAAAATCCACAACAGTACATTGATCTTGGTGCTAAGATTCCAAAGGGCGCAATGTTGACAGGTGAGATTAAAACCAGTAAAAAATACAATATTCAATATTTAATATTCAATATTCAGTATTCAATGTTCAGTATTCAATATTCAGTATTCAATATTCAGTATTCAATATTCAGTATTCAGTATTCAATATTCAATATTCAATATTCAATATTCAATATTCAATATTCAATATTCAATATTCAATATTCAATATTCAATATTCAATATTCAATATTCAATATTCAATATTCAATATTCAATATTCAATATTCAATATTCAATATTCAATATTCAATATTCAATATTCAATATTTAATATTCAATATTCAATATTCAATATTCAATATTCAATATTCAATATTCAATATTCAATATTCAATATTCAATATTCAATATTCAATATTCAATATTCAATATTCAATATTCAATATTCAATATTCAATATTCAATATTCAATATTCAATATTCAATATTCAATATTCAATATTCAGTATTCAATATTCAATGTTCAATGTTCAGTATTCAATGTTCAGTATTCAATGTTCAGTATTCAATGTTCAGTATTCAATGTTCAGTATTCAATATTCAATATTCAATATTCAATATTCAATATTCAGTATTCAATATTCAATGTTCAGTATTCAATGTTCAGTATTCAATGTTCAGTATTCAATGTTCAGTATTCAATGTTCAGTATTCAATGTTCAGTATTCAATATTCAATATTCAATATTCAATATTCAATATTCAATATTCAATATTCAATATTCAATATTCAATATTCAATATTCAATATTCAATATTCAATATTCAATATTCAATATTCAATATTCAATATTCAATATTCAATATTCAATATTCAGTATTCAATATTCAATATTCAATATTCAACATTCAGAATTCAATATTCAGTATTCAATAGTCAATATTTAATACAGAGGAACAAGATGGCCCTACGGTAACACATCTGCCTTACATTCGGAAGGGGTTTGAGACCCACTGCCGCTTGCCTGCTGAGTTTTTCAGAGATTTTCTCATAGCAGTATGAAACTTCTGGGTCAGGAACATCCTCTCACCACTCCTTCTACCCTATCCCCTCAGACCTGATTCTTGATCCCTCCAATGTGGCTAAAAAGGCTAGGAAAGTCTATAACAGCTTGCTCCTAACTGGGAGAATGAAATACACACCCCTTACCTTTCTTTTTACAGTATTCAAAAATGAAAATAATTTCAAACTCAAATGTGAATAAGAAAAACCAGAAAATTTCAAAGCCACATGTCACATAATAGTACTTAACTTTTTTTGAAAAATGAACATTTTATGCCTGTCCTTTGCTGTGTTTTAATGTTTTTTTAAAGAGTTAAAGGTGCTTTTGTATTCCCAAAACATATCTCTATGCATAAATACTTCACCAGTTAGAAAATACAGTAACTATTATTGCATTATTATTATTATATTATTATTGGTTCCAGGCCCCCCCGGAACAGGAAAAACTCTTTTAGCCAAAGCAACTGCCGGAGAAGCCAATGTACCATTCATTACTGTATCAGGATCTGAATTTCTTGAAATGTTCGTAGGTGTAGGTCCGTCTAGAGTTAGAGATCTCTTTTCCATGGCAAGAAAACACGCTCCATGTATACTTTTCATAGATGAAATCGACGCCGTAGGAAGAAAGAGAGGAGGAAGAAGTTTTGGTGGACATTCAGAGCAAGAAAACACCTTAAACCAGCTTCTAGTAGAAATGGATGGGTTCAATACTACTACAAACGTTGTAGTTCTTGCTGCAACTAACAGAGTTGATATTTTAGACAAAGCTTTACTTAGACCAGGTAGATTTGATAGACAGATTTTTGTACCGGCACCAGATATCAAGGGCAGAGCCAACATATTTAAAGTCCATTTAGGTCCACTTAAAACTAATTTAGAAAAGAATGACTTAGCTAGAAAGATGGCAGCACTAACACCTGGTTTCACAGGAGCTGACATAGCTAATGTCTGTAATGAAGCAGCCTTAATAGCAGCTCGAGATTTAAATGACTCGATTAATTTAAAACATTTTGAGCAAGCGATCGAACGAGTAGTAGCCGGCATGGAAAAGAAAACCAATGTTCTATCTCCAGAAGAGAAAAAGACCGTAGCATATCACGAAGCTGGACATGCTGTTGCGGGCTGGTTCCTACAACATGCTGACCCTCTCCTAAAAGTCTCCATCATACCTCGGGGTAAAGGTCTAGGTTATGCCCAATATTTGCCAAAAGATCAGTATTTGTACAGTAAGGAACAGCTTTTTGACAGGATGTGCATGACACTAGGTGGACGGGTATCTGAGGAAATATTTTTCAAAAGAATAACAACAGGAGCTCAGGACGATCTTAAGAAAGTCACACAAAGTGCCTATGCTCAAGTAGTTCATTACGGTGAGAAATTTTTAACAATGGTTAAAGACATGACTCAATATTTTTCTTTGGTATTTACAGGTATGAATGAAAAGGTAGGAAATGTCAGTTTTGACATGCCCAGGGAAGGAGAAATGATGTTGGAAAAGCCTTATTCTGAAAGTACAGCTCAAATGATTGATGTTGAGGTTAGGAAATTAATAGATAGTGCACATAAGAGAACAACCGATTTGTTGTTGGAACGAAAAGAACAAGTGGCTAAAGTTGCCGAGAGGTTACTGAAAAAAGAGATCATAAGTAGGGATGATATGATTGAATTATTAGGTAAGATTATTTTTAAAATATTTATATTGTTTGTAGTTTTATATTAGCTTAACATTCACTTACTAATACACATTAGAGAGGTGGGTTTCAGATTTAAAGTAAGTAATTCCAGGAATGGTTTATAAAATAAGCCTAAGCAAGGGTATTATTTGACATACGTGTTAATGCAGAAACTGTATGACTAAATTGATGTCATAAGTTGGCTAAAAGTAACATTAATAACAGTGGCGTAGCTAGATCTGTTTGCGCCGGTTGGCAAGAGTCACTTTGGCGCTTTATGTCCAGAGAAAAATCGCAATATGGTACAAGTTATTTTTTAACTTAGGTATAAAAAAAAATATATCAAACTTGTTTAATACTTTAATCGTAAAAATTTATAATTAATATATTCTTCACACAGTAGGCTGTGAAGAGTATTATGCATTCGGTTCCGTCCGTCCTTCGATGTCACGTTTTTTGTCCTCATGATATGTCAAAAAACAAAAAGAGATATCAAATTGAAAATTTCAGGAAAAATCAAGCTCTTTGAGGAGACGAAGCCTATTTAATTTGAAAAAATCTGACTAAAAATGGGGAAGTTATAATGATAAAAAAAGTCCTAAGTCAAAAAACGAAAAATGCTATCAACTTGAAATTTTTGGTAAAAATCAAGCCCTATAAGAAGATGAAGCGAATTGATTCTGAAAAAATCTGAAATAAAATGGGAAATTTTTAGCAAAAATCAAGCTCTATAAGGAGAAGCTCTTTGATTTTGAAAAAACAATTGATTAAAAAGTGGTGGTTTAACAGGTTGACTGCCGGTTATAACTAAAGGGCCATTGTGGGGTGCTAACTACTGAGTGATGCAAATCATAATGGAAACGTCTTGCACCGGTGCGTGGTCGGCACTGCGCATTTCTGCTGCACCTCGCACCCGTGAGTGGTCGGCATTCAACTTGTTGGGGTTGAAATTAAAAAAAATCATAATTCAAAAATGAAAAGTGATATCAACATGAAATTTTTAGTAAAAATCGAGCTCTACAAGGGAATGAAGCCTATTGATTCTACAAAAAATCCGAATAAAAATGGAGGATAAGGGGATTGAAATATTGAAAAAAAATCCTAACTCAAAAATGAAAAATAATATCAACTTGAACTTTTTAAGCAAAACTCATGCTCTATAAGGGGAGAAAGCCTATGGATTTTGAAAAAAATTGATTGAAAATGGGGGTATTTTTTATCAAAAAGTCTCTTAACTAGTATTCTTAATCTTATATTAACTTGTATATTACATATTATTTATGTTACAAGAAATATCAGTTTCAGTGAACACACATTAGTACATTTAGTTTGATTATTATTACTAAAACTTCATAATAACCAAAAAATGAACCCAAGGGAACCCCCGAACCAATGCAGCACAATAAATCTCAAATTTTGGACATGGTCTATCTACTAAAAACTAACATTTCCTATAACATAATATACATGTCTATTAGGAAAGCTTTTTGTGGTTCTTAATACTTGCAAAAACGTCAATTATTTTATCAAAGTTGATTGCTTTTTTCACTTATTTCCTAGGCTTAGACTATTTAAACGTTGCTGAATACTATTTCTTTAGTTTGGAAATTGATCGCTCAGCAGAAGCGGAAGTTACAAAGTTAAAAATATTAATAGTAGGCTATACACATTGGGAAAGTTTGTTTCATGAGCTCGTGTGATTTTTACCAAATATAAAATTAATCAGCCTATTGTTGATAATTCTTTGAAATTTTCACAAAAAGCTGAACAAAAATTGAGAATATCGGAGACAAAATTATTTTTTTTTCTTCTACTGTAAATTTTGTATCGGAGGCAAATACGTTAAAAAATATTTTGGAAATGTTGGGTCTTTATCTTTGTCAGTTATAAGCAGGTAGGGTTAGGTTTGGCTCAGAACACTGCGGCCTCTTGGATATATTGTATTCCCTTGCTTTCCCCGTGTTCAGGTACTATCTTTGAATAGTCCTGTGCCTTGTGTTATTTTTTCTAAGTTCCCTACCAAGTGTTCCTGGTGCGTTCTTTCTGATTCTAAGCCGAAATGGATGAGACTCTAGTAAGAGCCTCACATTCGAAGATCACATGGTATGAGGTTTCTTCCTCTTCCATGCAGAGTCTACACGAAGTGGGATCATTGTGTAATCCCATCACATAAAGGTGTTTCAGCAAGCAGTGCCTCGTTAGTAATCCCACAATGGTGGATATCTGAGGCCTTGCGAGTTGTAGTGCCTCAGTAGCCATGTGTGGGTTTGGTCACTTTAGCATATCTGTTGGCAGTCAATTTGGTGTTTTGTGGTTATCCACCTGTTCACTGCCTGTCGAGAAGAGGTTTTGCTTATCCCAAATAAAGGGTGTCCCATCAAGAGCGCCGGATTTAAATTTGCCGCCATTTTGTTAATACGAGTTGCACTGTCAATTTTTTTTGACAGATGTCACCTACAGACCGCGCGATTTAAGAATATGGAGAAGTATTCAAATGAACAACGTTTAATTATTGTAAAAACACATTACAAAAATGGTGAAAGTTTTGCGAAAACAGTTCGCCATTTACGTCAAATTTTCGGTCGTCATGATGCGCCAAATGAATCGACTGTGAGGCGTTTAATTACAAAATTTGAGACCAAATTTACGCTGATGGATCAGAAGACCATTGTACGTCGTCGTCCTTGTCGGTCACTCGAAAATATAGCCGCAGTAAGGGAATCTGTGACCGAGAATCCGGGAACTTCCATTCGGCATCGTGGTCAAGAATTAAACATTTCCAGAGGCACTATGCAACGAATTTTGGTAAAAGATCTGACTATTTATTTATTTGTATTTTGTACAAAATTTGTACAATATTGTTTTTGTCAATAAGTATTTTAACTTGGACAATAAACATATATTCTCTCTCTCTTTCTTTCTCTCTCTCTCACAGGGGTGGCTTTAAAAGAATGGAGAGAGCTGGGATTGGGATTAGAATTTGTGTTTACGTCGACGGGAGTTGGAATCTGATTGACTTCAAATTTATGAATTTATATAACGACACCATGTGTAAGAGCAGTGACGACCACAGTCCAAATGTTCCATCCAGGTTCGACTCCTGGTTAATACACTCATTTTTTCTTTTCTTTAATTGTTTTTTTTTTATTTGTTTTTGATTTGTTTTCATTTTGGGGATATGAGGGTGTAATTTTCATAATTTAGTAGATTTTTCATCTATATATTTCCAAAATTGCGTTTCAGTTTTTCGGATCTCAACTGATTTTTATCATTTCACTTTTCTTTCATTACAATTAATATCAATGTATGCAAACACTTATGCATTTTGTCAGATGTCTGGTCAATATTAAACATGTTGGAAACTTATTATGCGCTCGACTTGTGGTTTGCTGACTATATGAAACTTTGTTGTGGGAACAAACCTTTTATAATTTAATGAATTTTAAATAATATTGCTACTGCAAAGGTCTATCAAGACTGAGATTTCTTACACTTTGAGAAGAAAAACCAAATGCAACTAGCTACGCCGGAGAACTACTTCCTAGTGTATGGAATCTACTACAACAGACCGAATTGGACAAGGTACTCAACAACGATTAAAGGATATCCACTATAGATCTGAAAAGGCCGAGGTGGGGGAGACCACATGGCCCACAGTCCTAATTAAATCTACTTAATCTAATTAATTTTAAATACAATTTTAGATATTTCCCAAAATTAGCAATGTTTTATGTAATACAAATATTTCTATTATCATCTATTATTTTTTTAGGTAAGAGACCATTCCCCGAAAAATCTACATATGAAGAGTTTGTTGAAGGAACAGGTTCCTTTGAAGAAGACACTACTCTTCCTGAAGGTTTAAAAGAATGGAATAAAGAAAAAGTTAAAGAACCAAATTGTGCAACAGGTCCACAACCACCAGCTTAGGTACTTCACTAGGAGTAATTATCAGTAGTCATAATGTAAAATTTGTCCAGAAATTTTATGTCATTTTTAACAAGTAGCTCCAAAAAAATGATACATGGTTGGATTTTGATGTAGGTATGTATTTAATTGTGCAATATTTTCAAACTGCTAAAATCATCTTAAAAGTTGTTTTTTTTATATAATAGTATTTTACATTTTTAATTTCATAAGGTAAAAGACAAGGAACATATTTTTAAGATAATTTCAAATGTTTTGTCAATGATGTACTGATTTTATATACTAACTACATCAAAATTTAGATATATTATATTTTTTTGCTGCTATTTTCGTTGAAATTTCTGGCCAAAGAATTGTAACTAAACATTTTTATCAAAGCAAAACGATATAAATAAAGATTACCTATGTACAATTATTGTTGAAAATAAAAAAATGTAAATTTTGTATGTTCCGTCTATTATGTTAATCTGTTTTTTGTTGTTTTCTACTAATAAAGATAATTTAGTTACGCCATGCTAAATATATGAGCGACATGGATTTAATTTGAACTCTTTAAAAATCCCCTTAATTTTTATCATTTACTTATTAAGTAAGAGAAGAGCCACAACAGATCCATCTGGGTCGCAGTGTAAAGCGATGAGATCATCCCTCTCATTTTCAACCTAACGTATTAAGTAAGAAAAACTTTCAAAATCAGTAGACCTAAGATTTGTTCCAACACGTGCGAAAACCGTAATATTACCGTACAAATCGTGCGCTCTACCCAAAAATTGTATACAGCGCATGATTTGTACGGTAAATATTACGGTTTTCACGCGTGTTTGAACAGTCCTTAACAATACAAAAACAAACAAAAATTATATAGAAGATACATGAAAAATTTAAGGTTGCCTTACATCACACTTAAAGGTTTTTTAACAAATCCATATTATATCTTGTGGGTGGTTGAAAACAGTAGTATATAGGGTGATTCATAATGAATTGTATACAGAGCAATACGATAAATTAGTGATAATGTAATTTTATTTGTGATAGAAGACTTTTTGAATGCGACTTATTTATTTAATTTATACAGGGTGAATCCTAAGCTGATACTTCTTTTAACTCTGTAGAAGTCGTTAAAATAAATATCATTTTCAAACAACAAAAAAAATCAATTAAAAAGTGAATTAAAAGAATCTGAATCAGGGCCTGGATTTGTGTATCGAAAATTAAGCTAAATATATACGTTTGTATCTTTATACCTCTTTTGTTAGGGTTTTATTGTGAATCACACGCTTACCGGTCAGTGTTATTTGCTTGGGTGTTTACTGTTCAGAATATTAATATGAAAACAATGAACTTGAGAATAATATGTTGCTTATTTATAGCGAGTGTCTTTAAAATGCATCAAAGTGCCTTAACGGTGTTGAATAGAATGAACATTAACTGGCCTACCTTGTATTTCAACACTTCAGTGAATCGTGAAAACTTTATTTACAGGATTTTGTTTTTTTATTTTTGAAAAAGTTGTCTATTTTAACGACTTCTATCAGGGTCGGCCCTAGACATTTTGGCGCTCCGGGCAAAAACTTAATTTTGCCCCCCTCCGTTTTTTTTAAGCGAATCTCATGCGAACATATCAGAAAGTCAAGAAAACATTGAAAAAACAAAAAAAAAATTAAAAAAACGTTTCATTAAAAACTCAATCATCAGATAACAAGATTAAGGCAAAATAACAAAAATTAAAATATAGTAATGCTAACTAAACTAATATCCCATATTATAAATAAATTCTAACTAACCGAAGTAATTAAAGTGCCCTTTTTCTAACTTTTCTTTCGGCAAACTCACGAACCAGTGATTTCAAGTCTATTTTGTCACTAATTTGGTGTTCTATAGCTATTATTGCTAATCCATTAAGACGATTTTGCGTCTGCATCGTTCTGAGATAATTTTTTATTATTTTTAGTTTTGAAAAGCTTCTTTCCCCTGAAGCCACAGTGACTGGCAATGTAAGTAGGATTCTTAATGCTATGCTGAGGTTTGGTGCGAATTTAAGTGTAGCGATAAACTTGAGAACTTCAACAGGGGTTTCCTTTTTTGTTAATAATGACGAAACAATGCTTATTTCATCGGCTAGTTCCAGGGCGTTAAGATCGCTTGAATTTCCATCAGTTAAAACTACTTCCAAATCTTTGCAATGAGCCAGTAGCTCATTTCTGGGCATGTCTTTTAGACCAAAAATATTATACAAAAAGCTGAAATAATTACTGTGAGTATTTAGAAAATTATATTTGGTTTCCAAGGCATTTATTGCTTTATCTATAGCGTGAAAAAAAATCTATTTTATATTTTTGTTTGAGGTCTTAAACGGGTTCATCCGGGCCCTCATACAAAAACGTTCTTGATTTGCTTCTGACACGATGACGTGTTGTGGTGGTTTCGAAATTAGCTTCCACGTCAATCTCTGAAGCAAGCTCGGTTGCTTCTTAAATGATGCTTTCAAAAGCTTCATCTGATCTCAGGTTTTCAAAGAGGAGTTTGCAGTTGCTAAGCATATCAATAGCTTATTGTAACATATTAAAATTTACAGTTTGCAAAAGTTTGCTGATGGGGTTAATATGACTCAAAATTTTGTACCAGTTCACAACAGAGCAGATAAATTTTAACTGCTTCAAATTATTTAATAATCCGCTAGCCTCGTCTCTGATCATATTATAGATTTCTGAATCTTCATATATGCTGTACAAAGCATCGTGAATTGGACCAATTTGAAACCGCAGAGCTTTTAATGAGTTGACTCGACTTTCCCATCGCGTATCACTCAATGGTTTTAGGGTGTAAGTATCAATATATTTCAGTAATATTGCCCAACGAAAAGAAGAGGAAGAAAAAAATATATATAACTGAACAATATTGAAGAAGTTGGCTGCCTCAAACGGGGATTTTGCCATATCATTTACAACCAAATTTAGCGAAAGGCTGCTGCATGGAACATAAAATGCTCTGGGATTTATATTTCTGATTCTTGTTTGTACTCCCGATTTTTCTTCTCTCATATTGGAACCATTATCATACCCTTGACCGCGCATGTTTTCTACTTTAAGCCTATTTTTCTCTAGCTCTTCTAGTAAAACCTCCGACAATTCCTTAGCTGTTGATCTCTCGATGGGTAGAAAACCCAACAAATGTTCGTTGATATTAACTTGAACTTCAGACTGATTCCTGTATGGAGACAAATCTTATCACAAATGTAATCTGTTCTACTTTACTTGCATCGGGAGTACAGTCAAGAATCACGGAATAATACTTGGCCTTTTGAACTTGCTCAATGATATGGTGCTTTATGTTGTCATGCAATAATTCAATTATTTCATTTTGTATAGTTTTCCCTAGATATGTAGCTTTGATTTCTTCTTTATTGAGGACTCTGCGAACGTGTTCCTCCATTTTTGGATCAAACTCAGCCAATAACTGAATTAACTTCAAAAAGTTTCCATTATTGTGTTCATACAGTTTATCGCTTGTTCCTCGAAAAACTAGAGAGCTCTCACCTAGCATTTTAACGACTGATATAATGCGTAAAAGAACTTCAGACCAGTGATTTATCTCAGAATCAATAAGTCTCTGAGAAACTGCATCTATTGTTTGACCTATTTTCAATCTTTGCTTCAATTCAAGCCATGATTTCAAAAAATCTATAAGAGTCCCCTAAATGCTTCCAGTCTTAAATCCCCGATTGCCAAGAGCGCTCAAGCTAGATGGTGCAGCAAAAAGTCGACATGGAAAACAGTACAAAGCATTTTGAAATACGGAATATACCATCCATTCTCTTAAAACCTCTTCTCCATGTCTAAGCCTTTTCTTGTAATGTTTTGGTGATAATCTTCTATGCTGATCATCAAAAGGAAAATCAAAATTATACAAAGGTGCAGCTGGACTACGTTTAACCAAAAAAAAAATGTGCTGCACGCATGATTTCGGGCCATAATCCTGGGTCAGAAGAGATACTTTGGACGGTAGCCTTTTCTAAATGTTTCTCTGAGGTCTGCACAACTTGCGAATTTTGATTTTTGGAACTGCATCACTACTCGCCAAACTAGTTTGAGATGACTTACCCAGCTCAGTAATGCTTACGGTTGCGTCCATATCCGGAAAGTTAGTATCTAGGTGCTGGGCGTTGTTCAAATGTTGGTCATTTGTGGGAGTGTTGAAACTACCTTCTTTCAAGAAGTTCTGCAGCGCATCTGACTGTTTTTGAAGCTGTTTGCTTGTTCAATCTCCGCTTTTTAAATTCGCTCCCAGAGGGTTTTCTCTTAGCATCGGACATTTTGGTTTCTGGAACAAATTAATTAAAATAAAAGATAATACTGATATCAAAAAAAAAAACCATGATTTGATTTAAACTCTAATTTTCGAAATCCCCCCCTTATGCGCCACTGACTTAAAAAAATGTATTTCATTCAACTCCATACTCAATTACCTTTTATTTGATACCACACAAGCCATTTTTTGATATAAACTCTAATTTTTGAAATCCCCCTCGTGCGCCACTGTCTTAAAAAATAAAATGCATTTTATTCAACTCCAGACTCAATTACCTTTCATTTGATACCACACAAGCCATTTTTTGATGTAAACTCTTAATTTTTGAAATCCCCCACTTGTGCGCCACTGGCTTACAAAAAATGAAATAAATTTTATTCAACTGCAAGTTCAATCAACTTTCATTTAATACCACACAAGCCATTTTTTGATGTAAACTCTAATTTTTGAAATCCCCCTTGTGCGCCACTGGCTTAAAAAAATAAAATACATTTTATTCATCTGCAGGTTCAATCAACTTTCATTTAATACCACACAAGCCATTTTTTGATGTAAACTCGTAATTTTTGAAATCCCCCTTGTGCGCCACTGGCTTTTAGTTTTTAAAAATTAAAACACTTACCTTCACAGAAGCCAAACGCACTGGACAATTTGCACAAGCACTTTTTTAAAGCTTTTTGCACTAACAATTTAAACAAACTATTTTATTTCGCACCAGCTGAAGTCTAGTGACAAATAATGCATTGTTTTAAGTCTACTTCCTTTTTATATGCAGTTAAAAAGGGCTGTTAGATCTTGTTTCGCTTGGTTTCAAAATTGTTGTTTCCTGTACAGTCGTGTTGCCACGGGCCGAAAAACTTGTCAATTCTTGAAAGGCGGTGGTTGAGTGGTTTTGTCATGTTGAATTGAATTCAACCTTAACGTTTAAATATATTATATTATGTGCTTAGAAATAAAAATGATAAATTCCGCCTGCCGCCTCTTAATCTTGTCAACTATCAGTCAAATCTTGCAACGCGTTTTTAAGAAAATTCCCGTGAACCGATTTCAATGAAATTTGGTATACAAGGGTCCGATGACAATGCAATATTATGAAAAATAATTTATTGATATATCAGAATGATAAAAAAAATATTCTTTACTTTTTAGTGCATTTTATAAAAGCCTGTAACTTAATTTTTTTATCAGTTTATTTTCATTTTCCATGATTTTGGCGCCCCTAGATCATTGCGCTCCGGGCGGCCGCCCGGATCGCCCTACCCTGCTTCTATGCACAGTTAAAAAAGTATCGAGTTAGAATTCACTCTGTACAATTTTTGAACTTTTATAAATTTATTCCTAAAGTAAGTAGATCATATGCATCAAGTATATTTACATACCTCGAAACTATTTTGTATAACCAGAAAATAAAAAAAAAACTGAAAACAGTTTTTGTCAAATTTAGTGATGTTTCTGTTAAAAGTTTGGTTAGAAGTTAACTGTCGGTAACGAGGCAAATTCGTATGATGGAAAACATTTTCCAACACATTACTGTTATTTTCTGCCTGTTTTGTTCTAATTTAACAGTTTTCCATCATACGAATTTGACTCGTTTCTGTTAAAACTCGGCCTAACATGTACGTTACGGATAAAGTTGTGTATTGTCATCTTAATATGTTATAAAATTTAATTTGTTGATTTATTGTTACACCCTTTATCATTATTACCATAAAATATTTAAAATTTACCACCTTGTAAATGGTGAACCACCAACATTTTACCAAGTTCATTTGGGCAATCTTCATACTCATATTTTGATGTCAGAATTCTATAATTGCTCTGTGTATAATTGATAATGAAACAGTTGCGATCTAACAGATTTCAGCTAAACCAAAGTTGACCCAACATCAGCAGATACTAAATAGTAAACCCTAGATTATAATTTTTCTAATCTACTTCTTCGATAAAGTGTTAAATATGTATCCACACCTCCTGTTACTGATGTCATGGTTTGTCAAACACAAAAGGGGATCAGTTTATGTTTCTGGTTTAATTTTGTTTATAAAACTCAGAATTCAAGTGACACATTATATTTTTTCAAATATTGTGAAAATGTCACAGAAAAATGCATCTCGTTCGACAGCAGATCGGTGGATAAACGAGTTTCCGGAATTGGAATTTATTGGTGATCTCCACCATATCATTTTCCAATTGTCAGGAACCATTACTGATTGTATAAGGACTAAATTGGAAATGGTTTCAACTAATAATGCTGGTTTTCCTACTGTCTGTAGACTTGTGTATCTTTTAAAAAGTAGATTTTGCTTAAGAAAACATAAATGTGTCATCTTTGAAAAACTAAGCAACTTGATATATGACCTGACCCCGTGACGTCCGTTGATGTTGAAATATCGTTTTCTGTATGTAAATAAATTTTAAGTGACACATGTGAAAGTTTAACTTATGGAGCAGTTGCTTATAATTTATTCTAATTCCAATCAATAGTTTTGACATATATGCTGTGGCGGCTGGTGCATAAATGACGTAGAGCTACAGAACTGCCAAAAAAATGCATGGGATATTTAAATATTGAATATATTTATATTAGCAATAAAAACCATACTATATATTGGCCAACCATGCTCACAATAATTGTAATATTGACCTCGGAAACCCTAGATACAGCATTAAAAAAAGTAAAACCCCTGCATGGCACATACAGTTGTTTCATCTAAGTGTAATTAACTTTTTTATTGAACCATTAATATTTGAGATTGCAAGAATATTTTTTTATATAACATAAACAAAAATAAGAAATTTTTATTGTATTTCTACGAAATTTATTGTAAATTGTTTGTCTTTTTTGAAGAATTGGCAATTTCACTTGCAAATGGCTCAACAATTCTCATTAAAGCAGATTCGTACCCACAGTCTTGAATTTTTCTTAATAATGAACACATTTCATCATTTGTCATGGGTTTTACATCAACTTTAATTGAAGGACTTTTTTTCGGTCCCCAATCCATCAATCGAATGGGTACTGGTTGCAAACCACTTTGGAAAGGAACTGGCCAGGTAGATTTTATATCAGTAATACATGAAGTTGAATTTTTCAAATTTGTCACATGTTCTACTGCATATAAAACTGCTGCTATATGGTTACAGACTTCACCAAGTTTAGTCATACATGTACAATGAGCTGTACAAATTCCACCATCCCTCTCAGTAATAATCCAAACATGAAGTTCAGGTTCTCTTCCATGCATAGAATGCTGTACCGGAGGCTGTACCTACAACAAAAAACAATTTGTGTAATCAATTCTTCCTAGTGTTACTAATTTTAACATACTTTACCCACTAACAGCATATATCCATTTACTTGCTTCACTCCAACTTTTTCAACAAAGCCAGCTTCAAAATATTTGTAAGGAGTTAAACTTTTATAGGCCTTCATCTGCTTTTCTGTATAATAGCTATTGGTTAAAACCAAATAGATGACAATATCCATATTTGAAATGGGTGGGATAGCCTCAACTTCAAAGTCTAAATCTGCATCAGTTAAGGTATAGGGATCAAGGTTCAGTCCCTTAATTTTGTCACTATACGATATGGCCCCTTCTAAAGAAGTCTTTGCTAACCCTTTAGCATAGTCACTTAATTTGTCCATTTTAAATCTGTAAGTTTAACAAGAATGGCCAATGTCTAAAAGTGATACTTTTTGTATAAGATCTGGGAATTAGCTGTTTGGAATGAAACAGGCTAATGTACATAACTTTAAAACCTTTATTATAAGTGTAAAAACTACCATACAAGTCTCATTTTTAAATAAATGCAAATAAATCAACACAATAGAAAAGTATCTATTTTCACATTGGCCATACCTATTTAAATGCACCCACAAAATAAGTCACTATATACAAAAACTACACTAAAAGTAGCTATTCACACACAAAATAAGTCACTACAAAAACTACACTAAAAGTAGCTATCTTAATAAATTAATCAGCGTTCCATTACTCGAGTATGTTCATGGAGGAAGTCTTTTATTAAAATATTTAATACAAATTTGTTTGGCAGGTAAGAAATAGCAGAATGTTATGTTAGGTTATGTTATAATCATGTCATATGTCATTGTCAGTGAGTCAGTGTTGCCAATATCAAACACTGAAAATCATTTCGGAAAATTCCATAGATCTCTAGGGACCGATTCCACCGTTGTGTTAAACAGAGATTAAAATGACATTGTTAATGTAAACATGTCATTTTAAACTTCGTTTAACACAATGGTGGAATCGAACCTAAAACCCTAAAAACAGCATCGAAAAGAAATTTTGCCCCCCTGCAGCTGGGCGCCATGATACCTGAATTTTAAGGTGGCAATACTGACAAGACAGGATCGGCGTAGAAAATATAAGGACTGAGTAACTTTTTACGTGAAACGTTTCACAAATATTTGTCTTAATAATTTTTTTTTGTTGTTTATTATATACCATACCAAAACATTTTCGGAATTAACAGTTGATAGCCATAGAGATACCATTGACTAATAATTGTTTTAAAGTACGCCTAAAATGTCACTTTTCGCGGAGCAATAGTCGACCGCGAAACACTGATTCGGCCAAGTCGACCAGGAAAATTGCAAAAAACATTGGCCCTTTGAGTCATTCTAAAATTAATGTCTTGATAATATTGAAATTTAGGTTATAAAATAACATTCATACGCAATTTCATTAGGAAAATAATGAGCATCCAATGAAATAAATCGACTGTCAAAGGCTGTATTGCAATCATGGCTTGCTTTGTTTTATATTTGAAATGAAATTTTTAATTTTTTTTTTATTTATAATTTTATATGATAATATAGTTTTGTTCGTTTAAAATAAAATATTTAAGGAACTTTGTGCGTGAAGAATCTTCCACGCATTTGTACAACTTAAAGCATTTGCTTTTCCATTAATAATATACAGGATGTCCCAAATAAGAATGGGACATAGAAGAGCAACTGAAGATTTCTGATTAAAAATAAGACGATTAAAGGTATAATTTCGGTAGCCGCGTCAGGAGACATGAGATCACTGAGGCGACCAGTAGGACGACAGATGCATAAATGTTACATTTCGGAAGCTAGAGAAGTGTCGCGCGACACTTGCAAATAACCATTCGAGGGAACGATCAGCGTTGCCAGACCTACTGTTTTTACGTAGATCCAGTGTTTTTGTCTCTAGTAAATTTTGTTCTTAATTTATTAAGTTTGCCTCATTCTTCAGCAAATGGTTAAAGAATATTTTCTCTAGTAAATTTTCTGCAGTAAAAGCAGCGTAATAAACATCCACTACTGTAGGTTGGCTCCATAAAACAAAACATCAAGATAATCATTGTTTTTATTTAAAATGGGCAACGCTGCCTAGATCGAAAGAAATTTACAACCTCCAATCAACCCCAAAAATAAGCGATGCCCGAGGAGAGTGACCTCGAGTGCGACACTCCGAGGGCAGTGACCCCGAGACAGATTCAAAAGTGTCGTCTTGACGACACTTCTCGTGTCGCGCCGTGAAAAATGTGTTTCATATAATTGTATGTATTTTAGATGTGAAGCGACACTTCTCGGTCGCGTCGGCGGTCGTCTGTCGCGCCTACCGAAATGGTACCTTAAAAGAAACATGCTTAGGTAAAATCGTTTCTGACACACAGTGTGCTATAATTGAAAATTAAAAAAGTTAGGTATTAATGGCTAAATATATTTTTTTTGTTACTCATTATAATTTTACTAAATTCGGCCAACGCCAACGTTTTAAGTGTCATAAGATACTTTTATTGGCAAAAAAATCAATAAATAAAATTTGCTAGTGGCGTACGGCATGGATAAATAACACCTTCATATCCCTTCTAAATTTTACGTCACTCTCTAAAACTTATGAAGTGATCGGGTTTCGAAATCTTTGCACTAATTTATTTTTAAATTTAATTTTTTTTATTAGTTTTTAACAAATATGATTTATTAAAAACAAATCAAAACATTTTAAATTATATAGTCCAAAGTAGGTAATTGATTTTTTGCTGATAGATGCCGAATTTAGTCCAATTATACTGAATATTAAAAAAATTGTAGCCGTTAATAATTTTTGAATTTTTAACTATATAATCCTGTATTTCGGAAACGAGTAACATTTTACCCTCCATTATACCCAATCATGTTTCGTTTAATCGGGTTATTTTTATTCAGATAATTTTCCGTTGTTCTATGTCCCATTCTTTATGGAACACCCCTGTATATATCAAGTAATTACCTCACACGGCAAGATACAAGGACTGTTAAAAATCTCCCACATCAAGATTGTGATAGAAACTTACTTCCTGGTGTGAAAACAGAATTGCCTCGAGAGATCCAGAGGAACGAGAAGATTGTTTTTGTAACACATGTAACTTTTCAAACGATTTGTATTGAGTTTGATATGCTATATGCTGTTATTTTAATCATTTTTTATGCTGTATACCTAAGAATAAAAGACTATTTAGAATATGTTTGTATATTGAGTTTTTGTGATGCAACTCTCGTAAAATAACACAGCTTAATTGCCCTTCAGCTCGGTTTGCAATAATGTAAGAAATCGGACATGTCGGAAATCGTTATGAATATGAACGACAATCATTGACTGGTTGTAGGTACTCACAATTCATTTATGCAACCAAATTCAGGAATTGTGTCATCAGCTGTTAATCAGTCTCAACTTGAGAATAATTGAAATAATGGATATTTCATTTTTCAGTAATAAAAGGAAGTAAGTTTTGTTTCATTTTATTTTCCTTTTTTGTGTGATCTACTACATTTTCAGTTAGGTATTTATATAGCTTTAATTCATGTTCATTTGAAATCGAATTAGTTTAGTTACTAAAAGAAAGCTAAGAACCTTTGTATTCCTATAAGCTGGTGCTTAGTTCTACAGTTATCTCTAAAAGCAATGACACATTTTATTTGTCGAACTTTCTCAGGAAAATTAATTCACTTATTAAGTAAGAATTAATCTGTTTCAGAAAAGGTTTCTGAAAATAACTTAGGTATTAAGAAAATCCATAATCAACTGTTTTCTTTTTTATTATCACATGAATATCTAATATAAATAGATGATGCAATCAGTTATTTAATAATTAACCGTAACTTTTTAATATAATACTTAAAATTACATATAATATTTCAATGGCTAAACATAAATGATTTTAAGTAGCTTGTAAATTGAATTAAATTATATAATTTTCATTGGAATTCATTTATTTATAATTGGAATGTGTGCAAATATAATTTCAAGAACAAGGAACTTGATTGAACGAAAAGGTTTATCAAAATTTTGTTCCTAATTTTAACCTATACCACAGTTTATAGCTAAAGAATCAGTTCGCTCACTATGCGTCGGCACTTTTAATCTCAATGTTCCAGTTTATACATTGCGCAACTCGGATTTGTATCCCTGGCGAATACAGAATCAAATCATAATAGCCCAAGAGCCCACTGTAAATTTTTAGCGCCATCTGATAATGAAATAAAATATACCCCAAAAGCTTGTAAAAACATTGTACTTTACCGAATGACACCTGTGACAATCCCAATCCTGAGCAAAGTGTTTAAAAACATATTTTATATTAAAAAAATCACATAAGTGATCACAGCGCTAATTTTGTTTGCCCTTAAAGTTTTCCAGATAATAACATATTCAAATATATCTTGATATATATCGTTAACGGGAAACATTTTCTTCCTCTTAACATCGCACAAAAACGTCTACACACGATTAGTAGGTAAAAATCATTAAAAATATGAATCAATTGTTGCTGATTTAAGAATTTATTTGTATGCCTATTGTTGTGATTCATTTTTACAGGTTGTCATAGAAACGACAAAAAAACTACTATGATTATGGTTTAAAAGAATTGTCCATCAAGAGTTTATAATTATTATTGACTATCTCTGCCAAAGTTAGGTAAAAATAATTAATAATAATTAATAATTCAGGTTTAAAAGCTAGGTTCACAATGAATAAGGATTGTAATTTTCAGAGAAAACACAATTATCGCTGTCATGTCTTATGTAATTTTTTAAAAATAAAATAATTTTTTTTAACCACTTTGCTCTGGATTACAGATTGGCACAGGTGCAATTTGGTAAAGTACAATGTTGTTACATGTCCTTGGAGCATATTTCGTTTTGTTATCAGATGGTGGTCGTAATTTGCAGTGGGCTCTCTTACTATTACCAATTAAGCATTCCAACGACCTGTCAAACAATAGCTGTCAGTGAGAAGGTCTGGTATATCTAAGGGGGTAGAGACATAGTCTTGCATCTTGAACGTTTTTTTTTATTCGAAATAAATAAAGCATGCCAATTTATGAAAAAATGTATCTTATTTTTATTGTGTTTGACATAAAATATTTAAATGTAATCCCATTATTCATGATTTTACGTATTGTAAACAGAATACATCGTATGTCGCAACCCTTGGATATATCAAATCTTCCCACTGGCAGTTCATTTGTTTGGAATGTCTTAATACCTCAGAGCATTGAGTAAACGAATATAACAAGAGAAGCAACGCTTATGCACCGACCGTACCTTGCAATGGTTCTGACAAATAGATGGCGAATACAGTCACTTGGTTCTCAGATTCTCAGTCGACTGCTTATCATCATTTGGTGAGGAGCTCTGGGCGATCGATTTTGGCGGTTATTTACAAGATTTTGTTAGTTTTGATTTTCATAATTTGTGACAATGAACGTTACGGCAACTCATAAGTGCGTTTTTGTTGGTTGTTCTTATAGCAGTAGAACGAATGCTGCTTATTTTAGTAACTGGATAATGAAGGAATATTGTATTCGTAGCTGCGACAAAATAATTGTAACATGATACATACAATTAGATAGTTTATATTAACTGTAATACGATTCTCGGAGACGTGGGCAAAAAATTAAAATATTGTAATATTAATATTTCGAATATTTAAATGAGACTTCAAATTCCAAAATATTCTCCTGCAGGTACCCCTGAGCATGGGCTACAATTTAACAATGCGTTCATATACTTATACTCCTGGCCAAAATTAACGTAACAATGTGATTGTCTGGTTTAGTGATTTGTTGCCTTTTATACA